TAATTTATACATTTTTTGCATTGCAATTGTGATCAGTGAACCACAAGTGCAATGCCCAGACTCCTGCAGACTCTTCTCTGAGCCCAAGATCCATACTTCTGAATGGACCTTTGGTTATGGGGCTGCAGAAAGCAATCAAGAAACTACAAGCTGCGGTGGCAGACAGGACTCTAAGTTAGGTGGGTGGGGGTAGTTTGAGGGTGGGGGTTTGGGACTATGACCATGTTTCATATTACAATGTAAAGGTATTTTGCAGCACTCCTTACCAGATTTCCTGCATAGGTTAAAGGTGGGTGCTTGCAATGACTGTGGATGGTGCACCTAACAAACTGATTGTACCACCAGATGTGCCACCAGCACACCAAATCAATTTTTAAAACTAAAAAAAATATAAATTTATTGATGCATGCTGACTGTCAAATAGAAGTGCTTTTGGAGCCGCGCAGATTCACCTTCATCAGGCTCAGAGCCTCAGCATCATCCCTGATCCTGATGAAGGGGACCCTGCAGGGCCCCCGAAAGTGCTTGTATTTGAGAGACAGCATCTGTCAATAAATGGACGTTTTGAAAATTGATTTGGTGTGCTGGTGACACATTTCTACAATCATCGTGTTTCATGTTATACCCTAAATATGGATGAAGCGTAATCACAAAAGTGGAGTATGCTCTTAATTCAAGGCAGACCTTCTTTTCATGCTTCTCTTGGTGGTGAAAACACAGAGGGGTTGATTTAGCAAAGGAGTATATAGGCTGGTTACTCTTTACAGTCAATTTTGACTTTCCAAGGGAATTTTTCCTTAGCTTTGTGAATTAAGTGAAGTGGTGCTGACTTTAATTGTCCAATCCTGTGCAAGTTACATTTTCTTTGTATGTGATTTTGTATACTTCACCACATTCACATTAAGATAAGTGAAAAGTCCCTTTCTAAATGAAAATTAACTTTGTAAGGTGAATGTGCTCAAATCCTCAACCCCAGAATGTTTCTGATCTGGATAGCTTTCCTGACTGAAGCCTAATTCACCTGGTTCTGCTGTTCGACTGCTGTTGAACTCTGATGCTGGTCTACACTGTTTGGATAATAAAACCTTTTAAAGAAAATATTTGAATAGAGACTGTATAGTCGCTGCAGCATTCTTCAGACCTTGAAGTACAACTCTTGTCTTTTCACATTTCTAAATTGCTCAACTCCATCATTTTCAATCTCTGTGTTTCTATTTTATTGAGTTAAGAGAAGGCATTCCTCACCCCACCTTACAATTTGAGAAGCACTGATTGAGAGAAAAAGGAAAGCTGGACATCTTTGAATCAAAGCTACATTTAGCTCTGAGCATAACACTTCAAATTATACTTTGCAAACTATCAGCAAAATCCTGCTTATTACTGCCTATTTTCTCTCCCACTGTACGAAGTGACAGCAATCCAGTACAGCAACAAGGCTATTGTCAAGATAATAAGCCTTCATCTAAGTGTGAGACTGGGAGCAAAACGAGTGCTGAGAATTGCTGCCTTAAAGATGTGAGAAAGAGAAACAGAAATGGTACAAGAATATTGCTGAAAGTCTACCAACCAAAGTCTGAAACAAGGAAGAAGGCTAAGCGGAAAAATAAGATGATGCTAATTATCAAGGAGACAAAAGAAATAAGAACAGAGGAAGGGGATGGAGAAAAGATAACAATGGAGGGAAGGAAAGAGAGAAGGAATGAGAGAAAGGAAGGGAAGAGAAAAGGATAGAGGAAATGCCAGTGTGAAGGATGGGGGGAAGAGAGGAGGGAAAGAAAGAGATAAGAATGGATGGAGGGAAGAGAAGATAGAAGAATAGAGTTAAGGGAAGAGAGAAGGATAGAGAGAAGGAAAGAGCGAAGAATTGAGGAAAGAAGGTAGGATAAAGGGAAGGGAAGAAAGAAGTATGGATGGAAGGGAAGAGATAAGGCTAGAGAGAAGGGAAGAGCGAATTTTAGAGGGAAGGAAAGACAAAACAATTGAGGGTAGGATGAAGGGAAGGGAGACGTATGGATGGAAGGGAAGAGAAAAGGATTCAGAGTAGGGAAGATAAAAGGATAGAGGGAATAGAAGAGGGAGGTTTAGAGGGAAGGGAAGAGATAAAAATGGAGGGAGGGGAGGCAAGGTAGTATGGAGTGACTGAAGGAAAGAGCAAAGAATGGAGGGAATAGAGGAGAGAACACTGGAGGGAGGGAAGGGAAGAGAGAAGGATAGAGAGAAGGAAAGAGAGAAGGGAAGGGAGGGACTGAGGAAAGGGTAGAAAGGATGGAGGGAGGGAACGGAAGAGAGAAGACTAGGGGTAAGGGAAGAAAGAAGGATAGATGGAAGAGAAGCAATAGGAATGACAAAAAGGGAAGAAAGAAGAATGGAGGGAAGGAAGGAAAAGTAAGGCAATAATGGTAAAGGGAAGAGAAATAATGAAGAAGGAAAGGGAGAAGGATGGAGTAAAGGGAACAAAGAAGGATGGTGAGAAAAAAAGAGAAACAATTATTATGGGAAAGAAAGAAGGATGGTGGAAAGGTGAGAGAAGAATTGTCGGAAGACAAGTAAAGAGAAATAAAGGTAATGTAAATAGAAGGGAGGAGGGAATGAATGAGAAGGGGGAAAAAATATGGTAAATAATGGAAATAGAGCGCAAAAGCAAATAACGGGTGACAAAAGACAACTGGGTTCTAAATTTAATGCAGTAAAAGCATGTGGTACATAATTAATGTGCTACAGTATTTTACATCCTTGAACTTTATTCATGCAAATAACCAATATGTTAATCCACAAACGCTATTTATAGTAATTCAAAGATCTCTAGATCTCAGACAGCAATAATATAGCTATTCTATTAAAGGTTAGTTAATATTACAGGGTAACTGACATCCTCCTGGAGATGTGATATTAAAAATGGAGAGAGCCATTTGCCCTAAATCCACCTTAAATGAAAAACACAGTACAAGTAATTGGGTAATTAAAATGTTCAGTACGGTTAACCCACAGACATATAGGTTGTAGTGCCATAAGATGGTGACATTGTGCAGCCAGTATCTGCCTCTGCTTTTTCATATTCAACTGGTCTATTTTGACATTCAAGGAAAGACAAAGTAACATGGTTTATTGTCCCCTGTCACACAGGATATCTAAATATGTTTTCCAGTTCAATTGTCCTTTAAACATTTGCTGGAAGAACATTAAATCTATAATGAAAGACTCTTAGCACTGAATGATGGCTGTGCATAGTCCGCAAGTTATGTATTCTTAACCAAAATCAATTTCTTGTCAGTATTATTTAGGATTATGACCAACGGCGTGCCAAAAACATTGGAGCACAGATAGAAATCCTGAGCAGATTGGTCTAGTTCAGGCCGTAATGAAAAGAAAAGCAGAGTACCAAGACTAACAATGGACCAGAGCTGAGACATATTGCCAAAGAGAATCTAACACTATTTCTTACTAAAATAACCACAGTGCATAACTGTAATTTAATTTGAGTAAACCATCAGCCCTTTGTTCATATTCAGGGCAAAGTGGCAGTGTCTGTGTAAACCGCTCACTCCCAACTCATTGATATTCAACTCCTTGGTGATCCCCCGCCACTTCTACCTCCATCCCAGCCACCACCAAAATATACAATATTGGTTGGCATTGGAGCCTAGAGGGAGCAATGATGTCACCATGTCAGTCATGTGGCAGTGTGCAGGCCTTGCAATTGGAAGCTAGGCCAAAGCACCGCACCATGGGATGAAGCACCACCTTTTCCCAAGAACTGAGTATTTGTTCTGGTTGTAATGAGGGCAGAGTGGCCGAAGATCGCTGGCAAACATGAATATTAGTGGGAGTGTGCTCCACCATTAACATAATATTCTCAGGTAGACTTCCAGGTCCTCTTGGTGACCTGAGGGACAGCTAACTCCCCATACAATTTTTCCCCTTTCTTACTCTCAGCTTTATGGGCCAGGATGAGTTAAAACGTCTGTCTGGCTTTTATAGTTGTTGGTGTCCCAATGACAGATGAAGAAGCAAGTGGCGGCTGGCCGCAATTCAGGATGGCCGAGCAGTGTTCCAAACACCAACACAGCATAAAAACTATTTTTTAACATAAGTCGCTATTTACAGTTTTGCGTACCGTAATTTTTTTACCTTTTCGCAAAAAGGCGCAATTTCAAATTTGCAAATATTTGTTATTTATTAACTCGATACAGTTTTATCTTTTAGATTTAGTCGTAAAATTATTATTTTTTTGTGCTCTGATACTGATTTTCGTGTGTTTTAACAATTGAATGGTGTATTTTTATCGGTTTAATATTAATTTGAGAAACATTTGCGCAATTATCGCAGGGCCTACAAATTTAGTATCACCATCTTTTTATACTACCGGGCCTGCGCTTTCAGAAAATATATGGTTTGGGGGGTCTTTTACAAACGCTAGCAACGCAGCAGTTGAAAATCAAATCAATAGGAAAAAATTGCAAAAATGGCTTGGCCAGCTGATTTGAAAAATGTTCCGGAGGGCTTGGCAGCGAAAGGGTTCATAGTAAGGGTACTTGAATGTATTTTCAAGATTTAACTCTTGAGTTTAGTGTTACTTTAAATATTTCACGCTCTTATTATAGCTAAAGTTTTCTCTGTCTTTCTTGATAACACATGACCATCTAAAGTGATTTAATGTCATCTTATTTGATTTATTAGAAATACAGACAATACAGTACAATGGCCATTCTTTGTAAGACCAGGCTTGTCTGGACCCACATGCTCTTTGGAACATGGTGCTTACATCATGTCTGTCAATATAATCTGTCCTACTGTACCGCTAATGAAATAATACATGAAGTTCAATTCAATTAGATAAAAGGTTTCTGTATGTTGTGTTTATGACTCTCAGTATCCAGATCCTGTATGATGATGCTAGGCTACCTTTACTAGATTTCAAAGCTTTATTAAAAAGCCCCTGTCCAAGGCTAGCGAACAAACAGGCTTCAGCAATGTGCAAAGTACAGTAAGCCATAAAACAGTCCTGTAATCAACAGCACTGCAGGCAGCATTAGCACTGTTGAATTGAGCACTTTCAAGGGGGCAGGTTGGACTGCTGGACATTCAGACCATTGCACTCTGCAGCCTGGATCTTTAACATGCAGGGGATTTTAACAGAGACTTCAAAACTTTAGTACTTTACAAAAAAAAAGTAAAAAAAAAAACACTTTCATCATTTGCTGTTTATGCAGCCTGGATACATTACAGTAATGAAAGGTTCAATTGGACTTTAAAGATACCCTGTCACCAACTATTGCAGGTAAAAGCACAGAAAAATCCCTGGCACATCCCCTTCCTTACAATTACTGTCTATGCTGGTCCAGCTCCTTCACCCCGCCCTCATTACCCTATGTAACCTTTTATGTAGCTTCAGGGTAGGTGCGAAGGGTAATGCTATTAAGCAGGGGTAGGCATCCGCAGCACTCCAATGGTTGTTGAACTACAAATACCATTAGGCATTGCAAGCATGACAGCCACAGGCATGCCTCCTAGTGGCAAAGGCATGATGGGATTTGTAGTTTCACCACAGCTGGAGTGCTGAGGATGCCTACCCCTGCTGTACCCCTGTGACACTTTAGTGACATCTTGGAATCTGCAGGGAGTATAGGAATTTCCTGTGCTCCTCAATTCCATCTAGGGGCACCAGTGCCGTGTGAACGCCATCCATCGCTGGGCTTATAAATCAGCCTCTAAGTGTCCCTTTCACACCAGTGTATTGTCATACGACACATGGCACCCCACCCCAAAGCAATCAAGCAAAAAGTTTCCCTTATCATCTATAATGTTCTTCACACTAGTCCGTGCCATTATATATATTTATAGGTATGGTAACACACTAAAAGTGCAATACACACTTTAATTAGTGCAATTTAAGTCACATTTTCACGACTTTATATGTGTCTGCAGGGCGGAAATTGGAACAAAAGTAGTAAAAATGACATATAAACTGCACGTCACGTTGTGTTAGCTGGAACATTCTAAAAATGTATATAAGTTTACAAATGCACAGGTATGAATGAGCCCTAAATACAGGTATTGAAGCAGCAAGGTGCCTCAACAGCCCCGAAGCATGAACAGCATTGATTTCCCATGGCACATGGTCTATGGCCAGCTAACAGCCAACTAACACACTCGGTGGTGCCAATGGGAACATTAAAAATACATTTAAGTGGTGATTTTCCTTTGTTTTCTCAGCATTCTCTGTAAGCCATAAAATCTAAAGTAAACTACTTCCTATTACCCCCAGCCCTTCTTCCTCAACCAGAAGAGGTGTAATGGGTATTGATTTGCATGTTTATTGAGCATTTATGGGAGTCTGAAAAGATTTTGGAATGTTCTGAGAGAGCTTATGAAATGCTCCTGAATGCCTAGAAAATATTATAGGCGACTGAAATGTATCTCATAGAACGTTCATTTGAGGCTCCTAAAGTAGCTAAGCTTACTGTGAATGACCATTTAGCTTGCTAAAGCACTGCGTGTCATAAACAAGTACTGTTTGACAGAGCGTTGCCACCATATATCAGGAAATGCCTTCAAGGCAGGATCACCAGGTTTTGTGTTAATGAAAGCTGCAAATTTAAAAATACTGAAAATTACCTATGAAATGACATGAACCTGATAAAGCTGTAATTAGTAATTGGGTTTACATATTAGGAAATTAAATGTACATGTTTGTTTTATCATTAACTATATATATAAAGCAATTCACAGAGCCAGTCACTCTATGAATATCTGTGAACATTCCTTATGAGCGTATAGAGGCAAGAATATAAGAACGTTCTTATATTTTCATTTCAAGTCGAATGTAACATTTGGAAAATACTGTATTATGGCCACAAGATGGAGCTAAAGAGCATAGGAAAAAACGATTTCCCTATGCTTCTTAGCTCCATCTAGTAACCATAGTGTGGTATTTTCCAAAAGTTACTTTCGACCTGAAAACAAAATATATTAAGAACATTAATTTTGATCTCTTCTCACACAGAAAGAATGTTTTCAGTGATATACATGGTGAATGATTTAGCAAATTGTTTATAAGTCAACCTCTAAGTGTCCTCTGTTATCTTGTGAGCACATGCAACTGTTTCTACATTCTTTTAAAAAATAACCCACCAAATATAAAATACTAGATAGGACATGATGAGTTTTACGCACATAGGAGTGATGGTCAGGTGCCCACCAGAATGTGACCATAGAGGGTCGGGGTGCTGTGTTGCACTGAGGTAATGCGTGTTACATGTGTTAAACCCCAATCACAGCGCACACTTGTAAAAGAAGAAAAACAAAAAATGAGAACAAATGAACCAAAAATAAATATACAATGTGTCACAAAATCATCCTTGAATATGTCAATCAAAAGTCCATAAGAGTCCAACAGGGTTATTAGTGCTGATCCTCACCAGGTAAATCATAAAATCTCAGTAGATACTGAAGTAGGTTCCACACCATCACTTTCAATGTGCTCCCATCTACACTGAAAACTCACCAGAGGTGGTGCGCCCTTGTAAATATATACATAGGTCAAAACAAGACTCTCAACGTTGATTCTTCACCTCACGGGTCTTGAGGAGGAAGTCCGTGGATGATGAAGCACGTTGGGTGGAGTCTACTGACATCACTGTCGCTGTTTTTTCTTGGGAGAAAATAGCCTTTGCTTGGAAGGTTGTTGACTTGTATATTTGCTTCAGGGAACTTATGTTCTTGTGCTGGATGCACAAGTGCACTTCGATCTTATCTCTTTTATATAATTATTATTTTTATTATACAGGATTTATATAACGCCAACAGTTTGCGCAGCGCTTTACAAAATGGGGGAGACAGTACAGTTACAATACAGTTACAATACAATTTACAATACGATACCATTTCAGTACAATAGGGTTAGGAGGACCATGCACGTGAGAGCTTACAATCTAGTAGGAGGGGCAAGTGATACAAAAGGTAATAATTGTTTAGATTGAGTTAGTGGAAGAAATAAAAGGGCAGTTATGTTGAGATGGGATAGGCTTCCCTGAAGAGATGAGTTTTTAAGGATTGCCTAAAGGTTGGTAACGTAGGAGATAGGCAGACAGATTGGGGTAAGGGGTTCCAGAGGATGAGAGACACTCTGGAGAAGTCCTGGAGGCGAGCATGGGAGGAGGTAATTAGAGAGCTAGATAGCAGGAGGTCTTGAGAGAAGCGGAGAGGACAGTCTGGGTGATATTTTGAGATGAGGTGGGGGATGTAGTTTGGGGAAGAGCTGTAGATGGCGTGTATGTTTCTGTTAATATTTTGAATTTCATGAGTTGGGCAATTGGGAGCCAGTGGATGGACTGGCACAGAGGGGCAGCAGACATTGAATGGTTGGTAAGGTGGATGAGTCTGGCAGCAGCATTCATGAAAGACTGAAGAAGGGATAGGCTGTTTAGTGGTAGGCCAACAAGAAGGAAGTTACAGTAGTCAAGGCGAGCTGTTTTACCCTATGAGTTCTTCTATGTCATTTTTCTGTCTATGATGGGATACTGATATTGGGAGACTCATGACAACGTTTGAGAAGATGATCCAATGTGTGAATTACGGAAAGAGAAGGGAATTGACATTGAGAGCCTTGTTCTGACCTATGTACTATACTGTATATACAGGGGTCTATTCACGAAGCTGCCGAGGGATCTGGCCGTAGCTTCGGCCGATCCTTCGGCTATCTTCGGCCCCAGGACCCCTTCGGTTCAGTAGAACCGAGGGGGTGCTGTACGGGCTATTCACAATAGCCCGTACAGCTCCCGATCATGGCCGAGCGGCTCAGTCAAGCCCATCGCAAAGAAGGTCACATTACCTCTGGTGAGTTTTCTCTGAGGATGGGAGCACAGTGAAGGTGGACGGTGGGGAACCTACTTTGGTGTCTACTGGGTTTTTATTATTTATGTGGTGAGGATAAGCATTCATAATCACACTGTTGGACTGTTACGGACTTTTGATTGACATATTCAAAGACACTTTTGTTATACTTTGTATATTTATTTTGAATTCATTTGTTCTCGTTTTTTAGTTTAATTCCATTGAGTGAGCGCTGTAATTGGGGTAAAACACTATTGATAAGGCCTTGTCTTGTTGGGAGGCTTACACAGCTGCTGGTAGGGTGCGTGTTTCTTATACACATTATTACATGCGATCCTGACCATAGCGTTTATATGGTGATAAAGCCTGTGATGGGTGAAAACTAGTGAGATCTATGCAGTACAAGCTCAGCTGTCTCCACTACATATCACTACATGGTTTCCAACTTTCAAAAACATGTCCTTTATTTATCCATCTCTTTTGGTAAAGAAGAGAAATGTTCAAGCTGGGCTAATCATATTGCTGTAGCAGTCATGGCAGACAGACATATGCTATGCTATGGGACTTAGCTGTACAAGGGACTCATGGCATGGTGGAGTCTTCTGGTGGGTTGGAAGACCAGCCCCCCCAGTGGCTGCATTGATTGCTATGGCAGAACTTATCCACGCTGGCATCAAAAACACTAAAATCTATAAGCATTAATATTTTAAAAGTTTTAAAAAATCTGGACAGTGAAAGGAGAAGCAGCAGTCTGCAGTGCTATGCCCCTATACCTGGTCTATTCTAATGGTGCAAAGCTCCAGCACTCCAGCAAGTGCCTCCATAGCTGTCGGAATAAAGTTACACTTTCACATATATCTTCAACAACCATAACTCAAAAGCCTTCCTTCTCTCCTCCCTTCTTTCTTTCTTTCCCTTCCTTCCATCCTTCTTTACTTCATTCCCTCCTTACTTCTTTTCTTCCTTCTTTCCTTCCTTTCCTCCCTCTTCCTTCCTTCCTTCCTTCCTTCCTTCCTTCCTTCCTTCCTTCCTTCTTTCCTTCTTTCCTTAATTTTAAATGTCACATCTCTTTTTTATAATTCCATATTGCCTTCCAAACTCTCAGCTTTACTTTTGGCCTTTGCCGCAGTGTTAAATTGTAATAGCGGCATTTGGAAAGGCCTCCCTGGAATGTCAAAACTTAGACAACAATAATTTGGAAGACCCAGCTGGCTCACAAATGCTTTCAGCCACAAGTGCGGCTCAATCATAGTTATTTCAAGCCTATAATAAGTGACATACACGTTGTCCACCCACACAGTCACTGAAACTCTAAATACAGTATTTAAACCCAAATATTCTGAAAAGGGGAGAAGACGAGTCAACAGAAGATAACTTATTACAAATTAAAGAGACAAAAACACAAACAGAGGATCTCATGTTAATTAAAGAGGTCCTCCAGCAAAATCCTGTACAATAGCCCTCTACTCCTATGTGTGAGCTGTGTTTTGTAACCCCCCTGCAGATCAATTGATGGACAAGCAAAGGCTGCCTTCCAATCAGCTCTGTTGTAAGCAATTTCGTGCCCTAAGCTGACTTCTCAAACATGCCCCAGCTGTAAGGATGAGTAACGTCTGAACTGCAGGGGTCTCCAGCTGCTCTGCAAGCCGGATGGCAGGAATGGTTTTAGTCCAAATAAAGTATTTTTGTTTCAGTTTCCTGTACACTAAACATTTAATAAAGAAGTTTTTGCTACAATACTTGTCTTCAATTTTCTATTCCGCCACTAGATTCTGTGTTCAGTAAATTAAATGACAGCCAATTAGCAATGTACCGGTAAAATGCTTTTAATGACAATGCTGTCATATTTTTATTGGGTGATAGCACAGTATTTGATATCATTTGTGTTCTATATTAATAAAGATTTTTGATGTTGATAGTAAATACGCTTTTTGACCCTATATGTAACCTCAAAGGCTCGACTGGCTTTTAGTGGCCAGCTTTGCTTTTGTCAAATTACAGCCAGCATCAATCAGCCCACTTCCTCTGAGTGCAGGCTGTCATAGACCCGCCTCCAGTCTGTGAGTGGACAGTAAAGGCAAAGTACAGTGAGCAGCACAGTGGCTCAGTGGTTGGCACTTCTGCTTTTCAGGAAGGGGGTCTCGGTTCAAATCCCAGTCAGGACACTATCTGTGAGGAGTTAGAATGTTCTCTTGTGCTTGTGTGAGATTCCTCCAAAGACATGCTGGAAGGTAAATTGGCCCTGTATGCACGTGAGATAGGGACCTCAGCTTGTAGGATTGAAGGCAGGGAGTTATGTGAATGTGCTGTATATAAAGTACTGCTCAAATTGTTGGCACTATATAAATACATTAAAAAGTAGCACAGTGATGAGCTCAACATATTAGTCTGACTGACACTAATAGCTCTGTAATAAGCAAAGCTGATGTTATCATAAAGAGTAGAGGACTGTCTCTAAAGCTGCTGGTAGGGGACAAGCTTCTACTCAGGCTGTGGCTACTTTCTAAAGAAAATTAACGGTCAGACTTTAAACTCATTGACATGCCCGGCGCTACCATATAGGCAGGTCAAGCAATTGCTTGATGGCGCCAGCGGGGGGGGAATGCGACTGGCCGCAAGATGGCCATGGCGGCTCTGATCACACCTGCCAGCGCTCCCTCTCTCTCCTGCCGGCCTCTGCAGCTTCAGAGCGGCCAGGAGGAGAGAGAGGGATCCTGGATTGGAGGTGACAGGTTCGATAAAGAGAACCTGTCACCTCCAAATGCTATCACACAGGGGCTTGTTAGTTAGCTCCTGTGTGATAGCAATAAAGTAAAGTGACAAAAATAAATAAAAAATTATAAAATAAATAAACATTTATGAAAAAATAAAAAAATTATGACAAATAAAAAAGTGAAAGAGAATCATATAAATAAAAATGTAAAAAAATTAATATAAATTAAAAAAATTAAAAAAGTGTGTGTGTAGCCAAAAATCCTTGCACCGGCCCTGCTCATTGACGGGAATTTATCAAAACTGGAGCAGACAAAATCAGGAGCAGCTGTGCATGGCAATCAATCAGCTTCAGATTCGATCTGCTTCAGTTTTGATAAATTCCCCCCATTTTTTTTGATGCACCTTTATTTAGCTGATTTAAACTCAAAGTTGAGTTGGGTCTGAAACCATCTAACCAATCAGATTTCCAGGCAATTTCAGAAGAGGTCAGCAAGGGCAGCCACCATTTTTCTCTCTGCAAAGGTTTCCTCTAAAGTGACACAAAACTCAGGAGTTAAATCTTAAAAATGTATTCAAGTACCTGAACTATTAACAGCTACTACCTTCATTGCTATTTTTGAAAACACGTTGTACTTGCTACCTGCCTTCATGCTGATTCTCTGGTTCAGAATTTTCCAAGTTAATAGCCTGGAACAAGTATGCAACAAGTGAATTCAGAACTCTCAGGGCTTGTTCACACCAATTACAGCGCGTTCCAGTGCGGTTAGCTGCTGGAACACACTGTATCGCATACTAAACTTCCCCCTGTGTTCGGGGACCGCAAAAAATGCTGCAGAAATGCAGGGGGGAGTTTAGTATGTGCCAGTGTGTTCCAGCAACTAACCGTGCTGGAACGCACTGTAATTGGTGTGAACAAGCCCTCAGAACTGCAAGCTTGTTTCGGGTAAGACCTGTACTTGACAGCCAGGTAACGAGCATTTTCAAAATTGAGAGGTAGCAGTGGCGACCCCCTGATTTATCTCAGCCCATGCTTCCTTTAATGATTCTTTCACTTTATCGGTGATGGTATGTCTCTCGGCATCCTCACGTCCTATACAATGTGTATAGAACGTCATGACTCAGGGTCCTTAAATCACTTCAACGGAGGGGGGGGGGCTCCAGGAAACGGTCTAACAGCTGTCTGGCCCACAAGGATCAGGTGAGTATAACTTTTTTTTTTTAACCTAGACACAAACGAACACTTAACCCTTGCAGTGCAGGGGCAGCCCAACTGCAAGGGTTAATACAATTTGTGCCCGGAGTTCTGCTTTAAGACATAACATATCAAATGCTTGTGGGTCTTCTAAAGCCAATGTTTTTTAACTAATGTTCCTCCCCTCCTGCCAATCTAACTTCCAGTTCCTGCAAATAATTAGCTCAGCAGCATCAGAAGTAACTGTCTGCCTCAGCTTACTTCTCTAACACACCACAACTCATGTGCCTTTGGACTGGCAGTATTTATCAAGGCTGGGCTGGAAAGTAGACAGTCAGAAGGTATTGCATCAGATGAGAGACATTAGGAACGGATGCACAGAAAGTTTACACTCCGAAGCATGAGCAGTGAGTATTTCGCTTTTTTAATTTCGTATGCAATGTCTTTAGCGTACTGTAACTAGTGTCCGGGACCAAGGCAAGCACTGAACTCACACCACTGATATTCTTTCTGCTCCTCGGAGAAAACCTTAGTTGTCACAGAGGATTGAAACACATTTTGATATGTCATATTGGATATTTTTCCTGCCAGGAGTTGTTCATTTCTGCATCACCATTTGCCCGCCATTTCAAGATGATAATTAGAAGATCTAACACTTAGAAGAGATCACACGCAGCTAAA